TCCAGATTTTTTAATGATCGCCATTCTAACTGGCGTGAGATGGTATCTCAATGTGGTTTTGATTTGCATTTCTCTAATGACCAGTGATGATGAGCATTTTTTCATGTTTCTTGGCCTCATATGTGTCTTCTTTTGAAAAGTATTCATATCTTTTGCCTATTTTTGAATGGATTTGTTTGTTTTACTCCTGTAAATCTGCTTTAGTTCTTTGTAGATTCTAGATATTAGCATTTTGTCAGGTGGGTAGATTGCAAAAATTTTTTCCTATTCTGTTGGTTGCCTGTTCACTCTAATGATTGTTTCTTTCACTGTATAGAAGCTCTGGAGTTTAATTAGATCCTAATTGTCTATTTTGGCTTTTGTTGCCAATGCTTTTGGTATTTTAGTCATGAAGTCCTTGCCTATGTCTATGTCCTGAATGGTTTTGCCTAGGTTTTCTTCTAGGGTTTTTATGGTGTTAGGTGTTATGTTTAAAACTTTAATACACATGAAGTTAATGTTAGTGTAAGGTGTCAGGAAGGGGTCCAGTTTCAGCTTTCTGCACATGGCTATCCAGTTTTCCTAACACCACTTGTTAAACAGGGAATCCTTCCCCAGCTTGTTTTTGACAGGTTGTCAAATATCAGATGGTTGTAGATGTGTCTCATTGTTTCCAAGGCCTCTGTTCTATTCCATTGGTCTGTATCTCTGTTTTGGTACCAGCACCATGCTGTTTGGATAACTGTAGGCTTGTAGTATAGTTTGAAGTCATGAAGTGTGATACCTCCAGCTTTGTTCTTTTTGATTAAGATGGTCTTGGATATGTAGGCTCTTTTTTGGTTCCATATGAAGTGTAAAGTGGATTTTTCCAGTTTTGTGAAGAAGATCAATGGTAGCTGGATGGGAATAGCATTGAATCTATAAATTACTTTGGGCAGTATGGCCATTTTCACAATATTGATTCTTCCTAACCATGAGCATGGACTGTTTCTCTGTCTGTTTGTGTACTCTATTATTTATTTGAGCAGTGTTTTATAGTTCTCCTTGAAGAGGTCCTTTGCATTCCTTGTTAGTTGTATTCCTGGGTATTTTACTCTCTTTGTAGCAATTGTGAATTGGAGTTGGCTCTTTATTTGGCTCTCTGTTTGTCTTTTATTGGTGGATAGGAATGCTTGTGATTTCTGCACATTGATTTTTTATCCTGAGAGTTTGCTGAAGTTGCTTATCAGTTTCAGGAGATTTTGGGCTGAGACCATGGGGTCTTCTAAATATACAATCATGTCATCTGCAAACAGAGACAATTTGAATTCCTCTTTTCCTAATAGAATACACTTTATTTCTTTATCTTGCCTGATTGCTCTGGCTAGAACTTTCAATATTATATTGAATAAGAGTGGTGAGAAAGGGCATCCTTGTCTCGTGCCAGATTTCAAAGGGAATGCTTCCAGTTTTTTCCCATTTAGTATGACATTGACTGTGGGTTTGTCATAAATAGCTTTTATTATTTTGAGATACATTCCATCAATACCTAGTTTATTGATGGTTTATAGCATACGTATAGTGCTGTTGAATTTTGTCGAAGGCCTTCTCTGCATCTATGAGATAATCATGTGGTTTTTGTCTTTGGTTCTGTTTATGTGATGGATTACATTTGTAGACTTGCATATGTTGAACCAGGCTTGCAGGCCTGAGATGAAGCCTACTTGATCGTGATGGATAAGCTTTTTGATGTGCTGTTGCAGTCCGTTTGCCAGTATTTTATTGAAGATTGTTGCAACAATGTTCATCATGAATATTGGCCTGAAATTTTTTTTTTATTTGAGCCTCTGCAAGGCTTTGGTATCAGGATGATATCAGGAATTTATCCATTTCTTCCAGATATACTGGTTTGTGTGCATAGAGTTGTTTGTAGTAATCTCTGATGGTAGTTTGTATTTCTGGGAAATTGGTGGTAATATCCCTTTTATCTTTTTTTTTTTTTTTTTTTTGAGACGGAGTTTCACTCATGTTACCCAGGCTGGAGTGCAATGGCACGATCTCGACTCACCGCAACCTCCGCCTCCTGGGTTCAGGCAATTCTCCTGCCTCAGCCTCCTGAGTAGCTGGGACTACAGGCGTGCGCCACCACGCCCAGCTAATTTTTTGTATTTTTAGCAGAGACGGGGTTTCACCATTTTGATCAGGATGGTCTTGGTCTCTTGACCTCGTGATCCACCCGCCTCGGTCTCCCAAAGTGCTGGGATTACAGGTGTGAGCCACCGCGCCTGGCCTGAAGGGTTTTTTTTGTGTCTCTATCTCCTTCAGTTCTGCCCTGATCTTAGTTATTTCTTGTCTTCTGCTAGCTTTTGAGTTTTTTAAATCTTGCTCTTCTAGCTCTTTCAATTTTGATGTTAGGGTGTTGATTTTTTATCTTTCCTTGCTTCTCATGTGGGCGTTTGTTGCTATAAATTTCCCTCTAGACCCATCTTTAAATGTGTCCCAGAGTCTGGTAAATTATGTCTTCATTCTCATTGGTTTTGAAGAACATCTTTATTTCTGTCTTCATTTCATTGTTTATTCAGTAGTCATTCAGGAGCAGGTTGTTCAGTTTCCATCTAGTTGTGCAGTTTTGAGTGAGTTTCTTAATCCTGAGTTCTCATTTGATTGCACTGTGGTCTGAAATTGTTTGTTATGATTTCCGTTCTTTTGCATTTGCTGAGGAGTGATTTACTTCCAATTATGTGTTCAATTTTAGAGTATGTGTGATGTGGTGCTGAGAAGAATGTATATTCTGTGGATTTGGGGTGGAGATTGGTCCAGATGTGTATTCAAGTCCTGGATCTCCATGTTGATTTTCTGTCTCGCTGATCTGTCTAATACTGACAGTGGAGTGTTAAAGTTTCCCACTATTATTTTGCAGAAGTCTATGTCTCTATTTAGACTATTAAGCACTTGTTTTATGTATCTCTGTGCTCCTATATTGGGTGCATATATATTTAGGATAGTTAGTTCTTTCTGTTACATTGATCCTTTTACCATTATGTAATGTCCTTCTTTGTC